CGTCGCTCATAAGACCCTCCCCTCGGAAGCCTCAAGCCGTCCCCCCATGGGGGCCCTGAATCTCAAAATGCCCCCAAGCCCCCCCCCCCCTCCACCCCGCGTCACCACTGAGGCCTCGAGCCCCCCCCCCCAAATAAAAATGGGGGGGTACCAGGTACAAAATGACGGTACCCTTATCGAAGGCTAATCTAAGACAAGCGCCCTAGTGACTGAGTATTTGCTGTAGTGTAGTTTTTGCCATTCTGGCCGCCTGGCCGTCGGTCAAAAACGCAGGCCGCTAGGCGGCCGCGGCCCGCAATAAACGTCGGCGAGCATGCATGCAGCTTACCGTATGTATGCCGGATACCCTACGTGATGCTGACGCGAAACGCCATGGCCAGTACCCGAGAATTAAATGCATGCCGGCCGGCCTTCGAATCCCCGGGCAACATGCTCTACGATGTGCAGTCCTCACCGCCGGTCCTAGAGGAGCACGGTTCATGCCATGGCTCCTTGCATGGCATGTACGAAGCTGACACCGTGACCGTACGGTACACACTTCCAATGCGTTCTTGAAGCTGCGGCAACCGGGATAGCGGGGGCGACGGCGTTGGGATATCTGTACCTCAAAGTTGAGCAAGGTGGTCGCCCAGCAGAAGTTAACCGGGCATGGTTGCTAGTGCTGTCGCGATCTTCCAGTAGGAAATGCAGCTGAGGAGGACGGTGCATTGCAAGGACTCCTGGCGCGAGCCGGCATTGCATTGCTGAAAGCTTTATTGTTTCTGGAAGGCAGAACAGGGCAGCGCTATCAGTTCCAGCTTGTTCAAGCTGATGGCCTTTGCGTCCTCGCTGTGTAGAATCGCCGTCATTCCTGCCTCGCTCCTTCGCCCCTGTATCTCCGCCACCGCTTCTCGGACTTTCAGCATTGCTCCATCGCAGCTACTCTCGTTGCCCTCCCTCGAGTCCCCTCTCCCCCAGCTCGGTGCGCTCATTCACAGAAGAAGCTTCTTGTCAGGGGGCGCTCGCATTGGTGCCATCAAAAGTGCCACCTGGCAGCACGTAACTGGACAAGGAGCCTCTCGGAGCCAGACCACAATGGCATCTGCGGACAAGCCAATCCAGCTTTACTCGCTTGCCACACCAAATGGCCAGAAGGTGAGGGGCCGGAGGAAGGCGCAATTCTTGCACAGTTGCCTCCAAAGCAGGGGTCCACAATTGCTGAGGTGGCTTGGCAACTGATGAGGTGCACATTGGTCGCGCAAATGAGTCTCTGGATTTTCAAAAAGGGACTTGTCTCTCAGTTTATTTGTGGCTGGTGGAGCCGGCAATGTGATAACATGTCCGACACCACCATTCGCAGAGACAAAGGTTCAACAAGGGTTGGATTAGGCCACGTGCACATCGCAACGCGTCATTTGCAATTCGTGCTCCATTGCAAAGATGTCGTTTATTAGGACTCAATGCCTTGCTCTCCTGAGGCCCAAATTGACTCCACTTGCTTTATAGTTACAAAGAGGTGCTCCATTAATTCTCTTTCCTCAAAGGGTTGCTTCCGCTGCTTGTCTCAGACACCCTCCCATTTCATTCCCTTGTGCAGATTGGTATCTTCCTGGAGGAGTCGGGCATCCCATATGAGCCGCACTTGATTGACATTGGCAAGGGCGACCAGTTCTCGCCCGAGTTTGTCAAGATCAACCCGAACTCCAAGATCCCCGCGATCGTCGACCCCAATGGTCCTAGTAAGGCCTTGATACTCCAAAATCTTGAAGCATTTTCATATCCAGACCCAGATGACTGTTTTGTGCCTGATCGGCAATTCCAGTGTGTATCAAGAAGCAGATTGTCTGCGACTTGTCGAGCACTGGCATGCCTTCGTCCACCACAATTGACGCTGCAAAAAGAATCAGCTGGCAAGAATGTGGTCAAAACGAGAAGCAAATGTCAACCCCCCAACTCGCATCCTCTTTGCTCGCCCTGAAGCACTTTGCAAACTGCATCACGTGCCCGTTGGCTGCAGTCAGAGAACCCACACTGCTTTGTTGGTGAAAGCTTGACTAATCATATTTGCTTGAGTATCTTATGATTCCCTCTCTCAGTACGTCAGGCAAAAGTCTTGGCCTCAAGAAAAGGCGCTCAAACTGCTCTTTGTGAACGTCCGGTCATAATCACTTCTCTCGCACCTTGAATGCGAGATCCATAACTGATGTCTATTGTGTCGGACCCAGTAAACCAAACCTCTCCGTGCATCCTTCGACTTTGCTCAGTCATTGCTCCCTGGTACCATCTCACTGAAAGCAAGCTCACGCATTACCTTGCAGATGGAGAGGAGGTCCGCGTGTTTGAGAGCGGCGCAATCATGATTTACCTTGCCGAGAAGTACAACAGCCCCCTCTACCCAAAGGACGACCCCGCCAAGAAGGCCGAAACGCTAGGCTGGCTCTTCTGGCAGGTGCGCCAGCTGTCACACCAATCCAAGCGCCACCTGACATCACCTTCTTATTGCACCCCATTTCGCGTCTGAAGACAGCTTAAGAGCAATAAACTGGTCCTTTGGAAAGTTCCGTGGGTTGCGTTTTGAGAGTATTAGCGAGTGTGCTGGCAGTCAGGCATCAAGAATATTGGTGACTGCTTGCCTGCTCTGGTTTGAGGGTGGTCGAAGAGCTGTCTGGCTCTTGGTGCACATGTGTACGAAGTAGGCTCTGAAGCAACATAAAACGTCAACCTGCATTATTTGACGCACTCTTGTCCTTCGTCATAAATCCCTTTCTTTGCTGTCCACCCATCTCCCGGCACAATTGCAGCACAGAATGCTGCTTAGTACACCAACAATTGGACGAGTCTACTTCCCAGGATTTAACGTTTCTCTAAACCCGTTGCTTAACCCTGCTCCTAAGCTCACATACCTCAAGCTTTAGAAGTGGGCTCCTTGAGTACGGGGCCGACCAGACAGCTTCACTGGAAACAATAAAAGTGCTTAACCCGGCTCATGACCATCAGAACACTAGGTTGCATTCTGAAGGTCAGATCAGAGTGCTCAAGTGAGCTCCTAGTCACGAAGTCAAGTGACAATGCGCATCAACAACCAGAATCCTTATTGAACTCAACGTCTCCCCTAGAGCGCCTAACCAGCTTCTTACCCCAAGGCTCAACCGGAGGACGTGACTATGCATCTGACCCTGAAGTCGATAAGACTGCTCAACCGGGTTCCTAACCACGAGGCTAACTGGGGTTAACGGTCCGCCTGCAGGTTGGGGGCCTGGGCCCAATGCTGGGTCAGGTGGGCCATTTCTTCAGGTTTACCAAGGAGGACGTTCCGTACGCCAAGGAGCGGTACCTCACGGAGGCCAAGCGCCTGCTAACCGTCCTCGACAAGGCCCTCGAAGGTAGGCCCGGAAAAGGAATCGCTGCACGGAATTGCTGGGCGATCTGGGTTCAGAAACAGGTTCTGAAAAAGTCAAGTCGGGAAGTTCTCGTCGTTTCCAACTTCTTCCGTGCGTCTTTCTGACAGTCCGCTTTATTTCAATCGTACCCGATTCCTCCGTCCTTCATTGTGGTCAACCTCTCTGGGTTGCGGATTCCACAAGGCAAGTGGGACGTTTTCGGTCTTACGTTTTCTTTCCATGTTTTGGCGGTTTTCAATGACAGTGGGACCCTTTGGTCTATTCTGCCAAACCCTAGTCTCCGGGAACCTCTCAAGTGGACCGCCGACAACTAAAAGGGAGATAAGCAGCTTCTGAAATTGCCTCATGTCCTTCTCCTGTCATCTCTTTTCTTAAGCCGAAGCCGCTTTTTTGCCCCACCCCTTCGCATAACCAGCTTGGCACTGATGCTTGAGTGCCCGTGCCCATCCTTTGTCGCAGGCAAGGAGTACCTGGTCGGGGATTACTCCATCGCTGACATCTGCTGCGTCACGTGGGTCAAAGGCCTGAGCTTTTATGACAAGGCCGTCCTTGACATCGACGATTACCCGAACTCCAAGGCCTGGGTGGAGCGCATTTTTGCCCGGCCCCAGGTGCAGAAGGGGGTCAAGGTGTGCGCGAAGCAGTAGATGCCGAGTCAAGACGTTCGGACAGTAGCTGCTTGCATCCACTTGGACTGGGTAAATTGTGAAATCTACGTTTTGGGTTGCTAAAAAGTGCAGAGTCAGGTAGGAGCCCTCCGTAGACTTGAGCGTTTTCCGGCGTGTTGGAGTAGATTAAGTAGGCTCCACCCCGTGATAAAAAGAGGCACTCCGAAACATCGGGTTTTGGGCTGAGCCGCAGCAACTAATGTGCATCCTTTGAGCATGGAGAAACTGTATGTATCAACCCGCAGTCTCCGTACATACATGCGTCTAAGTTGCGAATTCAAGCATCAGTGGACGTTTTATGAATTCAAATCAACCTGAAGCCGCTACGGCATGTGTGGCAAGCGTCAGGACACTCATGGGCACTGAGAGCGCAGGAGGCTGACACAGTCAATCGTGTATTTTATCTTGTCTTCTACAGCTGCATTCCTTTGAAAGCTGTCAACTTCATACGGATCCATGCTGGCCAGATTAGTACGCGCAAAGTTTTCTGATCGTGCAGCAGCTGGCGGTCGGCGAGCGGGCCAGTGCAGATCCCAGTTGACACATATTATTGGTACTGGCACGGGCCGACCTTATTAGGCAATCCATCAGACATAGGTACTGCATATGATGTGCCTATGGCCAAAATAAATGCCCCGGGGCATGGTCCTTCGATCATTGCGGTAGGCATTAGAACGTGACACGTTGTGTGCATGGTACAGAGAACAGGGAAAATCAAACGCTGTCCGGCGGTGAACGCAGGCCATAGCCGCTTCGACGAACTCTTGGAAGTAGCTCGCCAAGAAGCTCATTTGATATGGTACATATGTTCTTGGGATCAGCCTCAGCAGTCAATCAGCTCTTGGAGGTAGTCTCCGCCCTAGTTGCTGCTTTTGTGACTCTTGGGCTCAAGCGTCGAATGCTCGTCCCCATGACGTATTCTGAGCAGATCCTGACTGCTGAACTTTCGCAACGCCTGTTGCGTGTTCGCCTGTCGGATGGCTTCTGATCAGCAACTCATCCTCTGTGCTAAGGACCGACGTTGAGTCGTCTCTTTGACAAAGACCGATCGCTTCAATGCGCGACAGCGGTCGCAAAATGATTGCACCGAATGGTAATGGAAACCGAAGATAGTGACCTCTACCTTGCTTCCGGGACTAGTTCCACCTTCGCGGCCTCATCTGCAGCAACAGAAAACAGCCGAGATCAGGAATGTCGCAGAAAACACCATTTCCGCAGACAACATTGCAAGTGGCCTGACAGTTGCAGAATGAAGGCAGAGAGGAGGCCTCAGACATGAGCACTTCAGACGCCCGAATTCGAATGGTCAGACAGCTTTCCAAGCAAAACCGACTACCTCGAGCAGATTGAACAACCTCCGGCGTCAGTTCAAACACGGCACTTCGAACCCCGCCATACCTCATTCAGGCACATAGCCATGTCCAGTGTGCAACTCACCAGCTTTTTTCTCCGCGCCTGCAGGGGCCGCCTCGAGGTCCGCTTCTGCCTGCTCTAGTTCCTCGTCTTTGACCCGGTACTTGTCGAGCGTGCCCCGCCGGGCCTTGAAAACGAAGACCCCAATGACGACGATCCAGTAGCAGATGTACGTGATGACCTGGATGAACGTCGGGTCGCACACGTAGCCGACCAGCGCCCGGGCCAACTCGAAGAACCCTTGGTCCTGTAAGGGAGAAGTGCGGCTTCGTGAGACTGTGCAATCAGAAGGAGAGAGCAGATCAAAGTGGAAAACGAGTTGACGGTTGTTCTGGACGCATAGCATTGTGTTCTTGCTGGTTGTCAAACGGCGAAGAAGATTGGCTTCTGCGCGAATGGAAGAAACAGCAAGAACAGGATGAACGCGCAAGAGGGAGGACGATCCGTCCATGCATCTGCGACCTAGTGCGGACATGCTCTCTGATGATTGCAACCATTCATTTGTTAAGGAGCAGAAACTTGCAGCTGTCTCTACGTAACGACCAGCATGCAGCGTCCCTGCTTCAAAGTTAGGGGCCTGACTCTGACGGCGGGCACTACCAGTCAAGGTCCCTCACCGCATCGCTACAGCAGCTGCAGATGTTCCAGAGCGCCTTGTTATGCCACGAGAGCTCCCTCTCTTCTTCCTCCGGGGCCGGTCCGGGGGCCGCTGCCTCTGCCGGCGCTGATTCGCCTTCATCACTTTCAGGGGGAAAATATCCGAAGGCTCCCGCCTGGAAAGGGCCAAAAGTTGATTCGTCAGGCCTGGAATGAACTTCAGGTGGCTGACGCCCAGAAAAGAGGACGAACAATGTGAAGCAGAGAATGAGTGGCAAGAGGCACGGGGAGCCATCGCTTGGAAAGCACTGCGGACTCTTTCGGCAGTCTGCATAGTTCAGCGGCTTCCCAAAACCCTGTCTGTTGGCTTGGCCACCGGTCCATGCATGCTGAAAACGGGAAAAAGTAACGCTAGAATGCAATGAGTACACCATCCAAGAGCAGATTGGCAGAAATAAGATGTCTCTTATTATAGCAAAAACTGAGCTCTAGCAGTAGTAAGCTCCTGGACTAACACAAAAAACCTAACCCACAGAATCCCCCGCTCCCCAACCGAACCCACCCTAACCCCCAAACTAACCCTACCCGTCCCAGGCTGGTTACATTACTAGTGCTAAAGCTTACTATTGCCAAACTGAAGATTCTTAATAATGAGCTGGGCCGCTCACCAACTGGAATTCGTGGATGCCCGTCATCATGAGCCCTGCGGCGAGGAACATGAGAATGACGGTCGAGATGTAGAAGAACCACTTCATCTGCACCGGCTTCAACCTGCAACCCGAGAGGAGCGGAGCTCAGACTTGGGGGATAAGCGTTGGCACTTGCATCCATGCAACTTGCGGAGCGGAAGCAGGATCAGCTGACATCAAATCGTTCGGAAAAGTGTAGATGCCATCAGATATTTCGAGCACTTTGAGCACGCAGGCAAATCATTCCTGAGTGTCCATTTATCACAAAATGCATTCCCTCGGACAGAGGCTGCCGAGTGACCAATTGCACACATTTTTCACACCCTTGACCTTGTGTCTTCACATACAGAATTTGCAGCACTTCGTATGTAATCCTTGCTCGTCAGAGAATTCGACAATGCACCCCTGAGTAATGCTGATGTTGCTTGCTCTAAAGGTCAACCTTTGCATTCGGCGTGGCATATGCTAAACAGGGTTTCATAGGGAGCTGGTCCCATCTTTCTGGTCTGGTCAGGAGAGTTACTCGGTAAAGGTCTTGGCCAGAAGGCTAACAAGTAGACTGCCATACCACTTTGGGTTATGACGACAATCAAAGGGAGGCACCCAGGATTCACTTACCCAAAGAAAAGGAAGTATCCAAAGAACACGCCAAGTGCTGCACCCACAAATCCGCCCAGGGGAATGGCTTTCCACGGCGTTCCAACCCCAACCCCGGCAAGGAACAGCACAGCCTCAATGCCCTCCCTAATGACGGCGGTGAATGCAATGATGAAGAGAGCATAGCGAGTGGTGAACGCCTGCTTGCCCTCTAGTGCCTGCAGTGAACAAGCAGACAATCTTGAAAAGAAAATCTTCACTATTCTTCGCATCTATCAGAGGCATCAATGATGAATCTGCAAGGAGCCCTGACTCAAGAGGAATAGCAGGAAGCTCCGGCATACAGGGGACCACTTTTTAAGGAAGAAGGATGCATCAGATTCTAGAACCAAGGATCCAGCCTCGTCAATGTGAACGCCCCAAACGCGGTCCAACCATGAAGTCCTTGATATATGAAACCGGACCTCACCTCCAAAGCTGACTTCTTAAGCTTGCGGTTCCACTTCTCCTGGAGCGCAAACATTTTGAGCATGCCGAAGGCGAGGATGGTGATCATGACGGAGGCAATCACGGAGATGATCCTGCTGAAGATCTGCTCCCCTTTGCCGGTGAACACCTCCTTATCGAGGGTATAGTATATCACAATGAAAATCACTGCAAAAATGATGGATAGCAGCAGCCCGAGGCCTGCCCCGATCCAGACTGCACAGGGAGAGGGGAGGACTGTCAGAAAAGTGATGGGGGAACTGCAGAGTCAAGCACAACAGGAAATTGAGAGGGGAATCTAGGGTGGCGCTTGAGCATCCAATGCTTAGAGGAGGGACGCTGCCAACAACTGAACAATCCTATAGTGAAAAATACTCAGTACTCAAAAACCGAAGGTCAGTTCTTGAGTACCAGGGTCTTGCTGAATGAGGAGCGTGAGACACTTCTGTCGGCTGTCACTTCTGCCAGGTGCAACACATGGGCGCCATTGCACAAAAGCTCTCAAACAACTGCCAGGAAGTCTACATTGGTGCACTAAAGGAGAATAGAGCAGTGTTTAGCCAGAGCAAACACACACTCAGCTACCAGAACTGCTCTACCGTAGCTTGGCGCCACTGGTCAAACAGGCTCCCGTGCCAGTGGAGAGAGTCTCTCTAGGCGCACCTTGTTTCTTCAAATACGTCTTGCCAGTCTTTGCCACGTACTGCAGTAGAACCGCCATGATGACAGCCGCCTCCATACACTCTCTGAACATCACAAACATGGCCGTCACGCTGAAGTAGTCGTTGCCCCCCATGGTGAACTGTTGCCAGTGGCACCTCAAGCTGCAGCAATGTGGCTGGCTGGTCAAGTGTCTACTAGTGCTAGTACTAACAGTGACAAGGGTGACGCCAGCTGCAAAGGAATGGTGGGGCTATTAAACTGGGACAATGTGGCGACCAAGTAGGAGCTGGAAACGAGCTGCAGCAAAGCCTGACCGCCTGTATGAGCTGTGAGTCAGCCGGAGCCACTGTCGGCTGCAGAGCAGCTCTCTGAAGCAGAGCGGTGCGGCCTGCCAAGTGCTGCTGACGGAAGGGGATGTTGGCAGTCAGAGAGGGGCATACAGAAGCAAATGCTGCAAACGCGGAAGAAGAGTAACTACAGCCTCGGCAGGTGCAAATATGCCAGGAAGGAGAAGCGGGCAGCTGCCACCAGCCCGCTCTCCTTCCCCCTTGTGCCCTGGTGGCGACATTGTGCGCCGCCATGAGGAGGCGTGTGCTCAGCTTGTGCTGCTCACATTCCCCTCCCAAATTTGCGCTGAGCTCTGAGTGGTCAGATTGACCGGCTCAGCCCAAGAAGGACCGTCGATGTTCACGGGAGAGAACAGTTTGATCACGTGGCTACTTAGCGATACATGTGCCGTCCGTGAAATGGATGAACGAACTTACTGCGGGCCTGCATCTCAACCGTAGATTCAATGATCGATTGCCCCACGCAGAAGTTAGCATTCCGGGCTGAGGGCTCCCCATGCCTAGATCTGCTCCGCTTGTCCGGCGCTATTCCGCCCTTCCAGCCCTGGGCTTCCGCTCAAGCAATTTCCAATGGCTACCTCAGTAACACTGACAGCATGCTCAGGCGGCTACCTTCATCTTGTTTTTTGAGTCCTTTGAAGGCGCAAGGCGCTGGAGGCGGCTGGACTCTGGTCCTGGAGACAACTGGCTGCTGCCGGGACAGAGGGCGCAAACACGCAAGTACAGAGTACCTTTGTGCGCCGCTCAGCAGCTGTGAGAAATTGTATGGAAATCATCTTTACGACTTCTGAAGATTGAAGCAGCGACAGCCACAATTAGTTGCCTGGTTCTCTGATCGGTTTATAATTGAGCAATCGAATGCTGGTTGATTCAAACTTTGGTGCAATTTGAATTTTAATCGGCGTAGATAGAAGTCGATCTGATCAGTGCAAACATGGAGGAGCTCTGTTTGACGCTTCACCAGCCTTGGGCTTCGTTAGTTGTCTACGGCATCAAGCGCATCGAAGGAAGGAATTGGCCAACCAAACACAAAGGTGAGCAAGTTCCATGTGTCATGTAGTAGGCCAATTGCTCAAAGATCACAAAGCTTCATGAAGACCAGAACTGGCAGAAGCTAAGCTGTGGCACAGAAACATTAAGATCGACTCTTGCACACTGCTTGCAAACTGTTGGCATTGTTAAGTAATCTGAAAAGCTTGTAGAATAAAAAAAGTAGAAGATTCTTTTTCAACCATCTGACACCCTCCCCGAGACCAAGCTCAGACACTGCCGGAGTCACCTTTTGCTTGGTTTACTATTTCCTATAAGGTGTTTTTGCACTTTTGGTTAGTCACCGGGAAGCAGGGGTGACTGCAGTCTGGCATCGTCACACTGCTAAGAAGGCTGAACGCTTTTCAACTCTTGGGAAGGCTGATCAACTTAGTACTGGGATGCAGGACGGCTGTGGATACACGCTGCATCCAAAACTCCTGACGGGGTTGACGCTGTGGAGGAGCTGTACCGAGATATCTATGCTGCAGAGGGTGTTACTGAAGTGAAGTTTCCTGAGCACTACCCGACCTCCGTTCTGCTCGGTGAGATGCTCAAAGAGTTCCCCCTTTGCAACATGATTGTCCAAAAGTTCTTTGTTTGACGTGCAGTGCAGCCTGTTTTCAGAAAAAGAAGCACCCTTTCATTTGTCGTACTGCAGGCGATGAGGTCTGCTCAGCTATCAACTTTTTCATCTGATTGGATGTTGCTTGCTTTGACAAGCCAGTCAAAGCTATGACTTTGGCAAGTCATGGACATCATGCTGACTGTTTTCCTGCTGGTTTCAAATCTGGTCTATGATGTGGTCATTAAGGTTGAGACTGCTTAAGAAGTGACTTCGTGTGTTAAAGTGAAAGCACAAAATTTTCCTTCTTAGATTCACTGGAATGATCTCAGTCCTCTTCTCAACGTGCAGGCTGTGTTGAGGTCGTAGGATGCTTGAGTAGAGAGGATCTCAGCCAAGTCCACTCGCTTCCCGACTCCATCAAACTTGAGCTGATGTCAGAGTACGGCTTCCTCTGCGAGAATGCTCAGGTGAGGGTAGCTTCAGTTAGATTCTCCATGACCTCAGAATCCAATGCCTCTGTAGCCCACTTGGCTGCCAGAGTTACTCAAATGGCTTATGGAACTTTTAGATTCTGACTCTGCCAGAATCTGCACACATGGTGGTTATAACTGTCAGCCCCGTCATTCTTTGCGCACACAGGTTTCAAAAGATTCGCTCTTTACAACTATTTTCGTCTGCCATGGCTTCACTGGCCGTCTATGTCATAGAATATGCCGTCACGCCTTGCTCTCCCTTCCTTGCCTTCCATGGAGACCAGCTTCAGCTCTCTTTGTCGTTTTTCTCGCTTTCTCATCAAAGACAGTTGAGTCAGCGGAAGTCCGTCCCTTCAGATAAAGTGGGTTTGGGTCTGGGTTTCACTGCCACAACTGGAGTGAGGAGTTAGAAATTGATTCTCTGCATGCAGGGAAATCTTCCGTTCGAACTTTTGTCTGTTTTGACGTCCGTGCAATCTTTGGGGCCCTCATTTTGTTGGATGCCTCGACCACTCGGAACCTTCTTCAGCAACAACGCTTTCTCGTTCCTCCTCTCTCTCATTCCAGGCGGTTCCTGCAGAGATTCTATCATGACGGAGAAGCAGAAGAGAACAACGAATTCGAACCAGTTGGCCATCACTGAACACTTCTTTTACTTATCTCAATATTCCAAGCCATGCTCTGGGCATCTAAAGATTCCTCGCTCGATTTCCCCCCACTTTGCAGCGCATGGTGGTCCCTTTCCAGATGAGTGGCGCGCAGGGCATCTACAAGCTCGAGAAGAAGGTCGCCTCGGCAGCCGTCCGTGGTCTCCGATCCGCCTTAGGCCCAAATCCCGTCAAATTCTCTGATCACGTCAAAGACTTATCTTCAAACCAGGGTGAAGTCGCAAAGGGAAAGGCGAAGGGAGGCAAGAAAGCCAGCTCGTAGTTGCAGGGGGAGCGCTGATTGCACAGGCGCTCTTGTCAGCCCCCGTGAGAACGAACGAAAGAGGAAGAACTAGGTACGGACAAGTTTGAAGCTTCTCCGTTTGCACCCTGCAGCTGCTAGAGGCTCCCGTGCGGATGCGCGGCTGGCAGGGCATCTTCCACCTAGACCCCTCCGTCGCAAACCGCGCGCTTGCAAACCTCAAACCTTCGCTCCGCCCCAAACCCGTTCGGTTCGCCGACCACATAACGCTGGAAAAATTACAGAGCGCGGAAAGTTCGAGAAGTACAAGCCGGAGTAGGGGGCGGTTCAGCAGGCCGGACTTCGAGGGGAAAGAGAACGAGGGAGCCAGGGGTCGCATAGGCAGCGATTTGCCTTCCAGCAAGTCGGATTCACAAACCGGGGGGACGAACTGGGAGGCGGTTCTGCCCCCTAGAGCGCTGGCGGCCAGGGCGGCTTTGATGAACTCCATGGGAAGAGGGCGCACTTCGACACGGGAGAGCATTGGACCACAATCAAGTACGGGCTTGAGGGGCAGGCTACGTGCCACGTGTCAGCCATCAGGCGACGGAAACGTCGGAGTGGACGGTTCTAAGAGCAGCGGGAGGGGCCAAGCGAGAGAGGGCGTTCAGCAAGGGCGGGCAAACAGGGAGGAGCGTGCTGAAGGCAGCGGAAGGGTACTCCCCGGAGCCGCCGAGTCAGGGACTGCGAAAAGAGGGGGTTCTGTGGAAAGGTTTGATTTGGATCGGGCAAGCGGGGGGAAGTCACAAGACGGGGTCAACTTGAATGAGGATTTGGCAAAGCGGGTGATGGAGACGGAAGGCAACGGAGAGGCGGACGGGCTCAAGCGGTTTGGCGCCCAGCTGTTGGCGGACTATAGGCCCCCGGCTCTGGACATAAGCGAGTGGCCGGTTCTGGGTGGTGCGAGGGAGCCCGCTCCGGAGTCGCTTCTGTCGCCCGGCTCTAACTCGCATAAGCGGCGGGGAGAGGAGCCGGAGAATTTGCTGGCTGATGGCAGCTGCGGCGCGACGCCGTGGCTGGCGCGGGTGCGACTGAACAAAGCGCCGAAGCTAGAGGATGCAGCCGTGGATGAAAAGGCCGCGGGACGGAGTGAGGTCTTCGTTCCAAGACAGCTGCGGCAGAAGAGTGCCGTAGTCTCCCATCAGCTCACATGAGGTTCGTTCGTCTGAAAGTGCTTGCCACGATGTGAGCGTGTGGGCCGCTGTTATCGAGGTTTGATGTCCGAGATCAGGTACAGCGCCAGAAGCACCAGTGTTTGTCCATTTAACCTTCTCACAATTAGAATCTAATCGCAGGCAGCTCGCAACCTACAGTTGCAGATTGTTTGACTCTTAGCCAGTGGCCGAGGCTTCAAACAGCTTGGAAACGACCTGTGCACGATCAGCTAGAACCGTGCATGACTGGATGCCTACGGGCATTCACTTTTGTCCTAGATCTGATTTTTGCTAAAATTGCATCCTTTCGACGGTCGCAGCCTGCCTGCCATGCTACTTGGCGCCTAGCTACTACAGATCCTGGCACCATGTGCAGCACTGCCCGCCTGGGCGGCCCAAGAAACTCACATTTTACCATGCATATGCGACTTGCATGCCCGTGGCCGGCCGGCCGGATATAGACTGCATCGGAATCGTTTATTTTGCAGCGGGCCGGGCCACAAACATAGCATGATGTCATGTCTGGGCAAGTTCTTTCGAAACGTTTCTCAGGAACATGCACATTGGACAGCTCTTATGGTTCAAAGTTATTTAAATATAGCATCAATCATGCAAACAAAACTTGAATTTTGCTTGCCGCTGCCAGTGCGCGGACGATGCATGGGAACTCTGTATGCATGCACGCATGGAGCATGGTCAACTTACATGATTTGAAGATACTACATCACCAATCATCTGCAATTACTGACTTAATGAGCTGAGCGTCGGAGTGCAATTCAATAAATGTATTATGGTCAAAAGAAGGCTTCACTGCGTTTTCTGCAACCTAGTACAGCGGCGGCGCCGGCCTGTTCCCCAAGAGTTTAGGTGATGTGCATTTCAACATCAATTGACATCATAGTTCAAAAATCTGCGAGCATTTACTTACAGTCTTGTCACCAACTGTGTCGTAGCAATACCTGCGGCTTTTTCATATTGACAGCGAGCGAAGCCGTCTGCCGTTTTCTGTTGTGCAACACCCACCTCTTTTCAGAATGTTAATGAAGCGCACACTCACAAGTGGGCTACCGTCTCGCTGCTCGCCAAGTGAAGCACGCCAGTGCAGCTCCGCCATGATCCCAGCATCAGACTTATCAAAATACACTGGCGAGACGACCAGTCCGGGTGCGTGGTGCCTACCCGCAACCAGCCCAACGCAAGCATCAAATCTTCTCCGTCGCAACACACCTTCCACCTCGCATATCCGGCTTGGATTCTCCCCCTAGCCTCCGTACGGCGTAAAGCCACACAGTCGAAGCCATACAGGTTGAGCCGAGGCTCCCCGACTCAGGCTTCGTTGTCGCAGCTCGCGCTTCCAGCCCCGGACCCGTTCCCCACGGAACGAACTCCGTTCCGGGCTCTCAGTCTCCGCCGCAGACGGCCGGTCCTTTCAAAAGGTCCTCAACCCCGCGCCAAACATCCGTGCACTTCGAGACCGTCTCGACTTGTCGCAATCCCCCTCTGATGCGTTCAGATTGACACTAGAAAGCAGCGCCCGCCCGCTTTTGATTACGGTCTCGCTTGCGCTAGAAATTTAAATGCCTCACTCCCTCGCACCCGAATTTTAGCAACACTGACGGCGCGCCTCCTTCCGACGAAATGGAACAACCTCTTGGACGACACAATCGTCGTCCCCGCCTTCGAGACCCTCCTCGAAGAAGCATCATTGAACCGCTCTCCAGCGCCCACTTCAGTACACGCCCCTCCGTCCCCCGCCTTTTGCCCCTAGCAAAACGCACGCTCCTGACCCGTCAGCATTTGTCATACAGCTCGGAAGCTTCCTCGAAGTACAAGTGTTGAACCCATCACATCCGAATCTTCATGCAATCCCCAACACGTCCTTTTGCCCCTCTCCCCCCCCTCCCGTCAACCAAGTGAAAAGGCCACCCCCCCGAGGGCGGCTATCCTTGTCCTCCAGCTCGACGCCCTCCTTGGACAGCACTCTTGTCAACCGAAACACTACAATCAAATGCTTCCGTTCACCCTTTCCACCCCCCACCTTCCCATTCAAACCGCAGCCCCCTGAGAGGCGTCAGTCCTCCAACTCAAAGCTCCCCACGAGCAGCACCGTTCCCTAAGCACTTCCAATCCGCAACATGCCTCTCCCACCCCTTCCCCCCTTCTCCTAGAATTTCGGACCCCCCGAAAAGGTCAGTCCTCGTCCGCCAGCTCGAAGCCCTCCTCGAGGAGTAGTTTCTGCACGAGCAGCTTCTTCTCGTCCTCCCCCGCGCGCCGCTTGGCCAGGTCCCGCTTCTTGAGCACCAGCATGTGCCGCTTGCTCGTGCGGTCGAACAGCTCCGCCTTTAACTGCACCTCCTTGGCAACTAACCGCCGCTCCTCCTCGGGGTCCATCTGAGGGTTTCACGATCATAGGATATCAGGACGATCAGATTCTCGATTTTTCGAGAAAGTACCGTAGTGGAACGTAATGATTCCGAATGGTCAAAAATTACAATTATTTTATCGAATACGACCTCAGCTTCTCAATTAATTTCTTAAATACGACCCCAAATCCGAATTGGGCCGGAATCGTCCCCCGAGCGCTTTTCTGCCCCACATTTGTTTGTTTTCTACCGACCGGTTGTACTTTTTTTGAATCCGAACGCCCTTGAGCAATTATTTTTAGAATGCAAAAATCCACTTTCCGAACCCAAAAATGAGTTTCTAACTTTCCGACGGCAAATAATTATTTATTTATTCGGAATCATTACGTTCCACTACGGGTAAATCCCCGCTTTGGGGTTAAGAGAAGGGTTAAGGTTCGAGAAGCGTGGGCTCCGAGACGCTCTGGAAGTGAAGCGCATCTAGGATATTGGACTGAGCAGATTTTTGGCATCCAGAAAAAGGGAGTTTGCCGATTTGGGATCAGGGTGACGAGAAAGCGTGGGCTCCGAAATGTGAAGCGAAGTTTGAGGTCGCTAACAGCTCCGCCTTCAGCTGCACCTCATTGGCAACTAACCGCCGCTCCTCCTCGGGATCCATCTGAGCGTGCCACAGTAACGGGTTACGGATACCATTTTTTGCAGACGAGGGTTAGGGCGTTCTAATAAGCTATAAGTCAACGAGCATATTGTGTGTCAAACGGCTCATCCTACATTTGAATGTATTGCTACACAATCGATACTCCCTTTCGGGTTCAGAAAGGGTACAGAGGTTTGACGTTGAGGAGGGTTAAGAGCTTTCAATAGGGTCTCGGATAAAGTTTTTCCCCCTTTATCTTTCAGCCACTAGCCGCCGCTCCTGTTTGGGGTGCATCTGAAATTAGTGGGAAAACAACAATGTAAAATCTATAAGAGTCCATCACTTTGATGAATCTGGCAAACCCCCTTAACTTCGAGAACGGTTTGATTGTACAAGATTCAGCGATCCAGTACTCGCCAGAATCAAGTGATCCTGAGAAAATGATGGAAATCGACAGCAGATCTTTCCAGTCAGTGAAGCCGCCAGAAGTACCTACGAAAGCCAACCCTTTTCAAAGATGAAAAAGCCTTCTGACACTTATCTTCGGATGTCAGGCTCGACTAATCTTTAGCCTTGTCAAAGGATCGAAGGCGATCACATGTACTCCTCCTTAAGCCCACGAGTCCAGGAACAGCTAGTTAGACGTCACGAGCCAGAAAGTCCGTTTCAACATCTGGCACCCCTCTACGGAATCAACGTCAAGCAATCAAGAAGCCCGCAACTACAGGGCACAAGCCGCTCTTCTTCACATAACGCAGCGCCCTTCCAACTTTCAACACCTCCGAATCACCTCCTTGCAAACTCCAGCTTCCGGCACCTCCGAACCAAGTTAGAATCCCGCCACACTTGAAGCCCGCAATTTCCAGCAACCCCGAACAACATTCACCTTCCGGTTCCCAAGACGAACAACTTCGAAGCGCGTTCTCCTCAGTATGTCCACCTTTTCAGACTCTGGACCATGTTCTCCTTACGACCTCCGCTTTCAACACTTTTGAACCACGTCGACCTATCAGCACTCTGAGTCTACGTTCTCGAAAGCTTCCAAAAATGTCGCTCCGCACCTTTTGCTTGGCCATTTGGCGCGCCTTGACCTGCATCTCGTGCCGCTGCACCTCGGCCCACGCGGTGGCTGCCACGTCACCCCGCTGCTCGAACGCCTTCTTCTTGCGCGCCACGTACGCCTGCCACGCCTCACTCGCCTGCAACGATAGAGATGCTTACGATTGTAACGATTTCGACGTTGCTAAGAAGCTGGGGGATTGAGGGTTACAAATTAGCATGTTTTACCACGAACCGACTTCCAAGCGAAAGGTGACTGACCGATTTCAGCAGTAACCAACCGACTGCGGACCAGTCGGTCCGCAAAACTGGCTGAAATGCGCCTCTCTACAGGCAATGGGGGCTACAAACCGCCCGGCACCTTTGTAAAACCGGCTACCATTCTAGTAGTCGGTTTGAAAACCGGCATTCCAACAATTTCGTGGTAAACACTGATTACGAGGCCATTCTTGCGCGAGTCTCATTACCTGCTACAGCTCGTTCGCCTGCATCAGTATGGGGGCAACTCACATGGTCGAGTCGACCAGAGTGGGGCCTTTGGGGGATATCGATGAGTCTTGGAAGAATTGGCAAACAACCTTGGACCATTCAAAGCGTAACAAACCCTCCAAGACCGCGAACCCATTGAGACTTGCTTCGCAACTCACACCCCTTCCCTTGGGAAAAAATAAAGTGAAAAGGTATCGGGCATACTACTCAGTAAGCGATTGGCAGACTCAAGTCAGCCATACTTGGGTCGATGAGAGCAAGCACAGAGTAATCAGTACATACGAAACAGCCCCGGCAATGAGGAACGCAAAATCTTAAAGAATCTACACTGGAACAGCCCATGCATTTTGCTGTTATATCAGATTGTCAAGAAGCCTTTGCCATCATCACCGCTCACCATGAAGGGGTTCCGTTTGTGATCCCGGTCATAGTTGCCCCGCGCCTCCCGGTCCATAAGCAGCTCGTAAGCGGCCTGGATGCGGATGAAGCGGGCACCAGCGGGCTCCCCGTCTTCAGTGCCCTGGTAGACTGCAGAAACGCCCGGTCGGGGAAGACATGAGGATCCATATCGACCGATAAAGGATCCAACACCTACCTTCTCGTTTTAAGCACACGGCTTGCTTCCACCGAACATGAACTGTCACCTACATCCCGGTCATCTGCGCAGCGCGCTCCATGCACTGGTTCTCATACCTTGTCTGATCATGTGAGTGCAGAGAACCTCAGGAACCTCCTCAAATGTTTGAATATGACAAGTGCCCCAGACTCCATGTATTATTGTCGTGGCACAAATTGGCCCCACCGAACCCCGCGCGTCCACTCCCTAAAGTCTGTCGTAAGACAGGGCAACCAGCCATGGTCCAGAGCTGACCTTTTTGCAGCGTCCTGAGTCAGTGCACGCATGCAAGAAGATCTTTTGTGGGGGCCTATCAACTGGCGGGGCTTACCATCCGGGTGGTAGATTTTCACGAGGTTCCGGTACGCGGTTTTAATGCCCTCTTCTGAGACGTCCCCTTGCACCCCTGTCACGGACACATTAAGCGAATCAGTAGGTTAGTTAACGAAGTGATCAGCGTTTGGAGGATGACTCATACTCTCTACCACACCTGCCCAGATACTTCTGCGAAGGGGGAAATTGACGCTCTGGGACCCTTTTCCAAGGTGGCCTCGAGCACTCAATACGAGTGTCTGGCTGCTTGAATCAGGATGTTGATTTGAACCACTTCCCTAAAATAATTGGAATAACAGGGGTCTAGAAACTGGCCTTCGTCATCAAGCTTTGGATGCTTGGTGCCAGTGTGGCTTCGAAGCATAGAACCTTCGCTTCAAGACGCATATCAGTACAGAGTCGGGGCAGTATGTCTGTATTAAAGGAGATAAGTATTCTCCAGCTCTTAGACGAAAGTCTTCGAAAAGAGACAACAGCAACAAGAAGCAGGAAGATCAGGAAAGTTGCATACCTAATGTCTCATACGGTGACTGGTCTAGCGTCCACTGTTCTTTGGACGCCTTTGCCCGCGTATGATGATCCCTTTTGCTCTGCAACCGACATGTTCTTCCCACGAGGCCACTCCGACTGAAACTTCCATACTCCCACTTCCCTCGTTCGCACTCTAACCTCGTTGTACCTGAGCATGATATCTGCGGCAATCGGCATCTGCATGACTGTGAAGCGAAGCTTGTGCCAAACTTTCTCCCCGTTTCGACACCGAGTCCATGTGGAAGGGACCGAAGTCTGTGACCCTGACTAGAACTTTGTATGAATGTTGACGCCCTCGCACTAAACCCGAATCCCTCAGCAGCAATTTGCCTTTTCCTAACAATGCTGCCTACTTGATCACGGTTGCAATTATTAATTTGAATGGAGAGGCATTTCGAGGAGAAGCCAGCTTCGGCGTTCGCAAGCAACCATGTACTCGCCATTTCTCCGACTGTGACTGCAAGTGCAGTCGGCCACCTTGACTTTGGGCTCCGTAACAAAGCTGCCTTTGTTTGTGGCACAGCGCAAACCGAACTGTGATCCTCTCAATCAAATGTCTGTGACATAAGCTCAGGACATACAAACAGCTATCTTGACGCAATGCTGACAAGAACGGCCTCGGAGAAGATGGCCGCAGACGGTGCCGATGCTACTTTGTTGCGCTAGTTTGCGGCGGGCTTTCAAAGAAGACTTGTTGCCATTGGCAGCATTTTGGGTGGTGAGACGAGGAGTGAGGTGTATTAGCACCACCCTTCAGCCTCAGGCTCAGGCCCAAGTTCAAAAGTTTGCAGACAATTTGTCGCTGAGAGGAGCCGGATTCCGCCGGAACGGACAGAACGTCGCCGTAAGCTATACCCGTCGCTCATGTCGGCGCGTGCCGTTACCGTACTGCCTACCGACGTCACGGTACTGCGAACCGACGTCACGATGTACTCTTCGAATTTGCATCATGCATCTCCGGTACCGTACGTGGTACCAGTTAAATCATATTACCGGTACCTAGGTACGGTACCTAGTACCTACCATTGCTAACTGTCGAAGCCACAAAGGCCCAGGGCTGTCACTGTACACGAAAAGTACGAGGTTTGTACAAACAGAATATTCAGTCCAAGCATCGAACGGTTGAAAGCTATTGTTTTTGCAAAGGAACGAAGATTTGACGGTCTCGATGATAGATACTACAGCTTGTATACCCTATGGTCTTGGAAAAGGTACCGCATCCACAATGTGCATTGTGGACCTTGAACTGTAGAAATCGAATCCAGAATCCAGCTTGGAAATTGGCAGCTCTGACTCAGACTCAGAGTCAGAGTCGGTACCTAGTACCGAGTCGGTAGGTAGTACAGAGTCGGAAGGCAGTGGAGTCTGGACATGCTCCTCACTTGCTCGTTCTGATTTTGCTCTGTTTCGCTGGTCAACACAACAGCTGGGAAGTGACGGATCTCAAGAACGTTGCTTTTGAAGCTACGGTAGCTATAATCAATAGAAAATGCAACCTCCCGCTGTGTCTTGCAGATTGTTCTTCTAAAACTGCTGCTGAAAGGATGGTGCCAAGCATAGAGATTGGACGGCAACAAGATTCCTGCGGGACAGATTTGCAGCCCTCATCACATCAGCGCGACTCAGATAGTGAGGCACCAATTTGGTTTTACTACCACCATGACGCCTACGGCGAATTTTGCAACTTCTACCCCGCCCCCATTTGCATCGATGGGAAGGAGTGGTCAACCTCTGAGCACTACTACCAGGCGCAGAAGTTCTTGGACCACCAATCGGTTGAGCGGATACGGTTGCTAGGCACTCCTGCAGAGGCAATGGCTGAGGGGAATCGACGTGAGCACCCCATTCGGCCTGGGTGACGGCAGATGAAGGCTGATGTCATGCTGACAGCAGTCAGGGCAAAGTTCACCCAGCACCGGACGCTGAGAGTTGTGTTGCTGCAAACGGGGGTGCGGGAGTTGGTGGAGCATGGGGCGGATGCGTTCTCGGGGGATGGGTTAGACGGTTCTGGGAAGAATGTGCTTGGCGAGATTCTGGTCCAGGTAAGGGCGGAGCTGCTGAATCAGCGAGCCACAAGCAATACTATCAGGCAACAGCAAGTGTATGACGTGCCCGAGAGGGCAGCCTGGCCGTATAGTAGAGTGGGAGATGAGCGGGTTAGCATTGCAGTCAGCGTGTAAAGGAGAGTCTATGAGCTTGTAATTCGGAGATTCCGCACATGATGAGTTGATCACTACGAGACGTAGAGAGCGAGCTTGAGACTTCACTAGCCTCGCAACATCACAACCGGAGAGTCCATGTCCATGATGCTTTGAGAATTGTTGATCTTTTTGAGGAAGTCACTTTATAAAAGCAAGGCAGACCGCTGTGCCGATGTTTCAATTGTTGATTAGTTGACTTATCTGACAACTTAGTGCCACATGAGCTAGGGTCATCTCAGAAAAGAATGTTTTAGTTGAGACACAGGCACATACCGTCGTCCAATCAGTAAAGCAGATCCTTAGACAACTCAATTGTACCTAGTCAGGCATCCGGCACCTAGTCGTTTTTGGTATGTCTAACACTGGCCAATTCGAAGGCTTGAAACTGACAATCGATCACAGTAGCGCGACACCAGAATCTGCATGAGTAGGAGTAGGAGCATTCAGTTTGCAAATTGGAAATTGAGTACAACACGATCCGTTCTTTTGACTTGAGAGTCCCATTCCCTTTGATGGAAGATATTGTATGCCATGACGCAATGGCACTTTTCTAGCTGGTTGAGCGGCGCCTCAATTCTAGCAAGGCAACTGAAACCCGCCCAGCGGGCTCCCCCGGGGCCCGGGCCGTTCGAAGAAGTGAATACCAATTCCCATCTATTCCTATATCGATGTCCAGATGCTGCAGCCGGGCAGCCTCGTCTATGCCCATGCATGACCGAGTCATGAAGTAGTCAATCGCGTATCTCTGCATGGTCGGCTCACTGCATTAATTAAGGGTGTTTCCAAGTTCAGTGAAGAGTGCCGCCATGTGTCGAATAAGGAAACGGTCGAATTGTCATGCAATCGATACCTGCCGCCCATGGCACCATAGTGTTCCACTCGATTTTAAGAAGATCAACCTTCCCGCGCCAAAGCATGCGGGCCACTGATTGCATGGCGTGCGAGCAACTGATCCACGCGCAGCAATATCCCGTGTAAGTCTATACACATGCATGTGCGAATGATTTGTTTGTACCATCGATCAGACTTTACTTTAAGCCGGCCGGACCCTAGGCAAATCATGTTTGTGACATAATTCCCCACTGCATCATGCGGGATCATACACGCTATAGTATGAGCACATTTGAGGCCATATATATAGAGACTCCACACAGCTAGCCGGTACCATACGCAGATTACACGCCCTCGTGGATGATCCGAATAGATTACTCAGCTTGTAGGGGCGATTCAGGTTCAAATTTAAATCTCAAAAATGTGAAACAGGGTTTCCGAAGAATCAGTCAGTGCAAAAGGCGCTAGCTGCACCAGGCAGCTTGGATCCGCCCTCTTGTTATTGATCAACAAAGTTACATTTCAAGCGTGCAGTCAAAGAATCTTTGTTCAGATTGAACTGTCAATCTGGCAACTGGCAGTACCTTTACTACGATTGCAAAGAATGATGGCTTATGATGTATCAAATCAATACTGCGTGCTTTCTATGCTTTCCTACACAAGGTCTATAGCTGGTCACTTTCTACCAGTCAGTCTTACGAAACTGGTCCTGTGCTTAAATAAGCAATCCACTTTCACGTCTAACACAAGGGCAGTCTACAAAACAAGTTGAAAGGAACCAATTGTCAAATCAGACTGGTAACCGCATTTGTAAGCCTGTTGCTCGCTGCCCTCCTTGATCGCACCTCCGTTATACAATCCTCAACATCCTCCGTCCCCCCGCCGCTCCGTCCACTCATCCTCTGGCACTGCCCTCCCCGCAGCTCAATACACTCTCTCGCTGACTCCACAAGCTTTCCTCGATGTTCACCACATATTACTAGCTGACGAAACCGCTCCGCCCCAGACATCGTCCCGTCCGTTCCCATCTACCTCCACTTCGTACTCTGCTACTTCTGACTAGCCGCGCGCCCAATAACCAATGGCATCCATTAGTTTACACAACACGCCTTCCAGGTGACCGATCTTCTCCGCTAAGATAACCCGTCCCTTAATAACTCAACGCAATGCAATAGACAAAATCCCCCCCTCCTGCCTCCCTACCCGTCCCACCCCCGCGCCATGTCCGCGTTGCTGCACTGCGCGCACAGCAGCTCCGCAATGTCGTGCAGCTCGTCCGCCAGCTGGCACGCGGTGGGCCGCCGGTCGGGGTTGGCGTCGCAGCAGCGCTCGACGAGCGCCATGAGGTCGCCGCCGTGGGCGTGCACCTCCGTGGGCCACGTGTACCACCCGCCCAGGGCCATCCACGCGAGCAGCGCCTGGACAAATACGGGGAAAAAAGATGGTGAGAAACCACAACAACGGGTGCCCGGAGTATAAGAGATATAGACTTGGTTCAATGTTGGTCCGTTCAGATGCTCATATCTGGTAGTGTTTGGTATCGCTCTTCTCAATCGAGTTCAGTGATAGCAGAGATGTCATTATTGCGAAAGAGTTGAGCCCGTCTCTCCTGAGAGCACCAAGGCTCACCACGTGCCGTTCAATGTTTTCCTGTTTAAATTCTTCGGAAGGCACAAATCACGCAAATTCTATGCAACATTCAATCCCCCAATCGCCACAATGCATGTTTCGAAGCACGCAACACACTCGAGCGAAGAAGTTCCTCACCCGCGTGTCGCAGAAGCCGTAGTGGGGGCGGCCGCCCGTGACGTGCGCCCAGATGACCATTCCAAGGGCGAAGATGTCGGCCTTCTGCGTGTGGTACCCCTTCAGGTACACCTCGGGGCCAATGTAGCCCCGGCTGCCGCACTGCAGGGTTACGACAGGGTTTAGGCAGAATCAGGGCGGGGGTACAAGAGGGATTCAGGCAGGATTCAATCGAGGTTCAGAGAAGTTTGGACATGCTTAAACACGGGGTAGATACACACCCTAGGAACAGCTTAGAAGGGCTATTGGCATCGCTTGTGTAGGGTTCAGACGACTTTAAACAGGGTTCAGGACGATAAATTTTGGCAAGGTTTTAGGCCTTGACGGCAGTGTTTGAGGAGAAGGCACGTCGATCCACTCGTGGGTCAGTTGGTGACGTCAGCAAATGCAAAGTCGTCAATTCTGAGCTCTCAAGTTCACTCAAAGTGACCTGTACTAATCGTGTCTTTGCAAGATCATTGGAAAGCACGCTGTTATCAGCCAAAAATGGACGGGATAGAGTGGGGAAAGAGGAGAAAGACAGGGAAGAGGCGGAAAGAAGAAAGGCCAGCGAAGAGTGAGGAAATGCTAGTGAAGAAAACATAGAGTAAGAAAAGCAAGCGAAGAGGCAGAAAGAAGGAAGGTCTGTGAAGGGGGAGCAAGAAGGGAGGGCGCTCACCAGCCCCCTCCCCGGCGCGTCACGCTCGTGGATGGCGAGCCCGAAGTCCGCCAGCACCGGGCAGCCGTCCTTGAGGAGCAGGTTGTCGGTCTTGACGTCACTGCAGCGGGAAAAGAGAGATCAGCTTGATGTACGAATACTCAACACAGGATTGCAGGCACAACAGAAGCAGCTCACAAAGTTCAGCTGAGCATCGAGACCTGTAGGTAGAAGCACGTGGCAGTCACCGGACCAGGTCCATTCCGCAGTGAGCAGCAGCAGTCGATCGGACTAGAGAAACTGTTCTGGCACTTGCACGCAAGAAACGATTCCGAAAACGGAGCCGTGATTGCGACCAACATCGCACCAGTTCGTCTTCGCATCAAGTTTTCCCTCCTCGACCCTGCTAGACTTTGCTTTTGGCTTTCACTCTTTAGCAACCCCTGCTTCGCTTTTTCAGAACAAACAGCGACAGCAACGGGTCCTCACCAGTGCAGCCAGCCGAGGCTGTGCATGGCCGCGAGCGCGCGCGCAATGTGGTGCGCGAACACCGCCACCCGGTACAGCTCAAAGGGGGTCTCCTGGACTCCGGCACCCGGTTCCGTCCAGGCGGGGGACGGATCCGCCAGCCCAAAAAGCGGAATGAACGTGTCCTGCTGGATCGTGAACCCCAGGAGCGGGATCAGGTTCGGGCACGACGCACACTCGATCCAATTCAGGGCCTGGCAGAGAGGAAAACAGGGAGTAATCAGTATTCATTGAAATTTATATTTAATGAGTACTGATTTAAATGAATTATTTTTGAAGTGCCAGCTTGTGCGATAAGGAGTTCAACCGTTGGCTCTCACAAAGAAAGAAAGAGATTGTCGGCCTCTTGGCCTTCTGGCGATCTTACAATATGAAGAAGGGCACAAAACTGATTCCCGCAGTTTCGCGGATGTAAAAGCCTTGCAAAGCGACAGAGCATCAGAGCAAGTAGATCCTATCAAGCGTAACAGTTGTCTGTCTTATTTACCACCCAAGTCACCAACTTCTCGCTCATTAGAACTGAAAGTCTACAGCAACTCCGCGAGCACAATTCTCCAACCCAAATGCCGGATCAAGTCCTCAATCCGAATTGTGGGAACTGCAGGCCCTAAACAAGGCCTCGCTGCCTCACCTCGGGCAGCAAGTAGTCGAATGGAAGGCACGCCAGCGGCACCTTGGCGGCCACGAGGAAGGCCTCCCCCGTCGGGCGAGTCGCGAGCGCCAAGTAGACCGCACCCTGCCCGCCCTGCGAGTGGAGAAAAAGTCATCATTATCCTCTCAGATATTATCAAAGTACTTGATCAAAACCTTTTCGGACGAAAGCGGAGCAGGGAGGTAACAACTTGCTGAAATAATCAGAGACCTGAGCAACGGAAGCCGTCTGCGGTAGAGACCGTAGCAGTGAGAAGCCGTGTGACTAGGCCCAGCCTTCCCATCAGTGCTTCTCGGCAATGCCGAGCAAAGTCTAGATTGATTCAATGGTTCAAACAGTGGATGCGAGATTGGCTGCTCACTCTGCCCAGCTCCCTGTCGAGCGTAACGTTTGGGTAGTACTCCAGGGACCCCTCCAGGAACGAGTATGGGGACGGGATGCGCAGTGCAGCCGTGCTGGCCTGCAGACACCATAACAAAGAGGGTTAGAAAGAGGGTTAGGTCGACACGAACTTCGAGCTTGCTGAAAGCAGGCTTATCGACTTCGCAATTTCGGGACAATCCAGATGAACTGTTGAAAAGGCGAGAGATATGCGAACAGATTAAGCCTGTTCTTCTGAAATAGAGAGACAACTTGCGGAAACAAGAGAACAGTTAAGAGAGACAGAAAGAAGAACTTATCGCACATTGTGCTTAGCACGCACCTGCGACTGGTCCTGTCCCCACGCCGTCGGCGTCACCGCCTCCTCCCGCGCCCCAGCCCCGCCCATCTCCATGTCCGTTTGGACCCCACTGGGCAGCAGCGCCTCCCCATGACTCAGCGCCGCCGTCTCACCCCCACTGACCCCCGACCTCTCCGCAAAGATACTCCTCCCCCCAAGGACCTCCGTGACAGCCCCACACTCTGCTCTCTCCTCTCCACCAATGTGGACAACCTCTGAGAAGCCAAGTGCCAAAAGGGTCTCAAGCAGCTGCAGGGTAGCCTGCCGATCGACCGTCAGGATCGTGGAGGGGTCACGGGCGTCAGGGGATGGGAGGGGGTGGTACTCGAAGTGGGGGTCGGAAAAGAGGGTGCCGTCGTCGCTGGGGAGGGTGAAGGCGTCTGAGCTGAACAGACCCCCCCTTGCGGATGACGACCCGCCCCTGCCGCTGCCCCGCTGCTCCTTCTGGGGGCTGGGCGTGTGGGGGGCTGCGGGCGCAGGGGCAGCGGCGGGGGTGTCTGCGGCCACCTCAGTGAGGGGCGCGGCAGAGGGTGCCTGTGGAGGGAGGTGAACCATTAGAAAACTGGTCTTGGAGCGCAATGGTTTTTGAACGGAAGTATGCACAAGAGTCCGAGTCCAACTACTCGAGCAGCAAGTACTTGAAGGGAGCCCCTGCAGAACTCTCTATTCCGCTTATGGCTCATTAAACCACACTGAAACCAAATCACTCATTGTTTGCATCTTGTCCAACTTCTGAAGGATGAAGGCTGTTAATTGCGCCAAGACCTCTGAAGTTTCTCTACAAAATCGTTGACTTTCCTTGCATCATTGTAGCATGTCGGCCTTTGGCTCTAATCAAACATTTATCTTTTTGTCGTCGCTGGGTCATCCAACCACTTTTTTGGTTTATGGAGGCAAACATTGTCAAAGATCTACGGGTCATCAATTACAAAATGAAGCTCTGGCCAAAAGCTAACACTGTGTCCCTGCAATTCTTCTTGTTCATCTACCGTAACATAATAAGTTTTCCTTCTTCCTGGTTTTGTTCAAAAGAAGCTTCAATTTCAGCTTCAATCTCAGTAAGTCTGCCGGCGCTTTACCTGGTGCTGGCCATCCTCTGCGCAGGAGGCGCCGGGAGACCGATCCGTGTCCACCTCCCGGGCGCCAGAGACGTCCGCTTCCTCCTCAGCGACGATGGCCTCCGCCTCCGCTGCACCGGTGCCCCGCTGCTCCGTATGATCGGGCGCAGAGGCAGCGGCGAGGGGGACGGCGGCCATGTCGGGGAGGGGCCCTGCAGAGGGCGCCTGTAGGGGAGGGTGAACTTCAGTTACTAAAGTTAACAAATGGCCAGAATTACGAGAGATCTGAACAAATACTGGCCATCTCCCAGTGGTCAGAATCTTTGGAAAGTTTGATTTTAGATGCAAATGCCAGCAAAGCCTGGAATTGTGTCGCAGCATTTTACATATGGGTTGGAAGTTACATAGCATCGTAGACTCAGCTTCGAAAGGTCTCAACAAGTCAGCTTCCAGCACACGTGTCATTCGTCCAAGTAAGAATGACGAACAGCCTTCTTGAACAGACTATGCTTGGCAGTGACTTATAAACGAGTAGGTCTACCTGCAATTGGCTGCAATTGCAAGTATGGAAGCCCCCTCGTTCTTTAGATGTCAGATGCCATAATGTTAACAAACTGCATTGAGGATCATTACCTGCTGGCGGTCACCCTCTGCGCAGTCTGTCCAGGGAGACCCCGCCACGTCATCCTCCTCCCGGACAGTAAGAGGCCGCATCACCTCCACCCCCTCACCCTCTCTCTCCGTCTCCTCCTCCTCTACCTCCACCAGCTCCCTCTGCACCCCCCAGTGCGCCTGCACCTGGGCCTTCTCCTCTACAGGGAGAAGCGCCTCTAGGGCTCCACCGACCAGGCCTCGAGCGCTCTCTGCGAGGAGATCCCCTCCAAAAAACTCGCTCAATCTCGTGCAGAGCACCTCTGTAAAGTCACGGGCACCCTCTCGGATATCGTAAGTGAGGTGCTCGAGGGGCATCAGAAACGCCTGATCAATGAGGCTAAAAAGAGACGCCATGATGTGGCGCCTCACGATGCTATCTAACCCACGGTGACGGGGCGCTGCGCGATGCAATCGCAAAGCAGGCACTAAGCAGGAAAGCAGGACGCTAGAACGCCTGAAAGCTGGTATCCTTCAGAGAACTGAAGAATGAGAGATTCTCAGCTTGGATTCCCGCAAAATGCAGCTCGCCAGACTCAAGAGCTCCTGAAGATACCCAGCGAAAATCCCCGTCAGCTTTGCTACAATCATGGTACCATGAAGAGTTGGCGCCTTATTTTGGGTGATCATGCACCTGATTGGTTGAGCAGCCTAAATTCACGGCACTAACGGCCTTTTCACAACACGCGAATCCGACGCGAAACCACAAATTGGGGCCTGTCACAGCCCGAGTCCTGCGTGCCACGTAGGATTTCGTCAACTTCGCCGAACTCGGGCAACTTTCGCGCTAGGGGCAAACTCTTCTCCGGCCAAAATAGGCCGGAGAGTTTGACGCCATCCGCAAAAGCAGGAATACCTATGTTTGAAACCGTCCGATATCCAGCTTTGGAGCTTGACCAACATCGACGATTTTCGGGTGCACCGTTCATGATGTACTGATCCCGAGGTACATTTTGTTCATAAAAGCGGCGAATTGGGGTAAAACTGGGGGAACTGGCTTTCACAGCGGGAGGAGATTGAATTTTAAAATTCTGCTCACGTGGCTGCTGACAGAGCAACTACAGCCATTCTGGCTCCGCCACATAGGCTGAAGAAGACCGTCGCAAAACTGGGGTCAAACTGACGCAGAATTGGGGTTCGCGTCGGATTCGCCTGTTGTGAAAAGGCCGTAAGCAGGCAATACCGTCCGTGAGATGTTCCAGCCGTCCAGATAGCCGCCCGCTTATCGAACGGTCGAGAAAAGATGTAAGCTTTGACGGTTCTTTATTGCAAGCCTTTTCCGATTTGAACGGCCGAATTTGCAATCCGCTAAAAGGACGGTCGAGACCACCCCACTTGCTTCGGTCCAGAATGTAATGAACCTGTGTTTCCATATTCAGTTGTTGAATGGTTGAAGGCTCGATAACGGTGAACGAAGATGATGACGGATGCGCCCATGCAATTGCGGCCATAATCTTACAACATCCCCCTCAGCCACCAACGGTCTGCGCCGCCTGCACCGAGTGGATCGTCAATGATGGACAGCTCGCAGCAAGTTGACCAGGCCGTCAGTCGTCGTAAAGGTCACAACCGGGTTGCATGGGCTGCCTCGAGTATTGCCTGCAGCATCCAGCAGGCCATGTACCCTTCAAGAGCCGGTCTTTATCACGGGTCTAAGTAATGATTGGACCGTCAGCCAAGATACAGAAGATACCAGACGAATATGCTTGATCCTGATTCCGGGAGGGCGCACAATAAGGCGTAAGCCTTGAATCATATACAACGGCAGTCATTACTTTATGAGAAATCGACTGCTTTTTATGAGGCAGTAAAACATCGTTCTAGCCTATCCGAACGGTTGCACATAAGTGCGCGCACTGGTGGTCTGATTAAGCTGTCTCACCTCAAAGAATCAATTAGGCTGTCCGTATGTCTTCCATGCAGTAAGCTAGATAAATAAGCGACCAATCATTTCGACCAGTCATTTTACTATGTACTAAGTCCTGTAAAGAATGTGTAGACATTGGCCAATTGCGTACACGCTGCCAAGTCTTGCAACTCGCTCCCTCTACGTACAACACGTCCTGCGATTATATTCAAACTTGTCAAGTTCAAGCTAAGCTCTTCTCATTCAATTCGAACGCCGCCCACAGCCGCACAAGCCTCATTCCCCTAAAGTAGCGCAACCTTCTAACTCCTCACACACCCCTCGCACCAATCCGACTTAACTCCTTCGAACCCCGCCGTGAATGATGAATAAATTGTACACGCCCCTCCGTCAACGCTCTACATTCCCCACCCCAAACCCCCACCTTACTATGACACACTCGCCCCGGAACCTTCCCATTCTCGTCGAAACCCCCGCTGCAAACCCGCCATCAGTTGCGACCCCTCACATACCCCTCGCTATACCCCGACCGCTCAGTTCTCGCCACACCCAAAACCCTCGCTTCACCACCTACAACACACTTAAACCCTCTCCATACCCCGGTCGAATCCCGCTGCACAATCGCCCCAGAGTCTCTAACCCTTGCTAAACCCTTGCTAAACCCCGAATGGTCACGCGGCCGCTGTCGCACGCGCCAGCCAGCTCAGATTTTGTGAAATACCGAACAGCGCCTGTTGCAGGGCGGCCGCGGTGGGCCGCTCGTCGGGCAGCGTGTGCCAGCACCGCTCGACCAGCGCCACCAGCTCCGATCCGTACGGGTGGATGTCCGTCGGCCAGGTGTAGCGCAGCCCTTCGTCGAAGTGATCGCGCAGGGCCTGGGGGGGAAAAAGGAGGAAGATTTCAGAAACCAACAGATTATGTGGAGTAAGAAGGTAAACCGACTTATATGTCTTTGCCTTGTCTTTGCAAACCGCGAGGCTTCGACCGTTGGAGCCACTCTTGGATCAAGAACTTTAAACGAGTAGTCAGAACGATCGTAAAAAGACGACGCGAGGGTTCGACGAAACGGGCAAAAAGGATCAGATGAATCTGAAGGGGAAACAAGAGGAAAAGAAAGGAGCAGCAGCGGGAATGATATGGAAGTGAAAGAAAGTGGGTAGAAGCAACGGGCGAGGAAACGAAGCGAGGGCGAGGAGAGTCCACAAGCAAAGACGAATCACACCGGAGGACCATCAAAGTGAAGCAGCGCGGCTAACCTCGACGTTGGGGAACTCCGAGCAGGGGCGGGTCCCGGTGAGCAGGTTGTGGAGCGTCACGCCCGCAGCGAAAATGTCGGAGGCGGGGCTGTGGCAACGCTCCACGTAGACCTCTGGGGCGATGTAGCCGTGCGTGCCGCACTGCACACACAGGTTTGGTGAACATGTGAGCTACGGGAACGGATTATCGCGAGCGAGGGAGCAGATATAGACTTCAACAAGCAGTCAGAAGAGGTGGCAAAGAGTATGTTCTCAAGCACAACCTGCCAAATCATTGGGACAGAAGCGAACGGAAAACACCAGGTCATTCACTTCTGCCAAGCTTTTTCTAGGACGTGTGACATAGGTAGATTCAAGTTGATTGAGAAATCTAGTAAGCAGCCGCTGACACCATTTCCGTGCCTTGTGCTTCTTGTGATGCTTCAAATTTCAAAGGGGAGGCCAGAGATTCAGCGTACAATTCCACAGATCCGCATTTTTTACATCCGTTTTCCACGAATCATGATCTCACGGCGTGACTGACAAATAAAGTGAATGGTGCCCTTACGTCACCCCCCTGCGCCGCCTCCTCGACTGACGTCACCAGTCCGAAGTCCGCCAGCTTGGCGACCCCGTCCTTGGCCAGGATGTTCTCCGGCTTGATGTCCCTGCGAAGAGAAATATACTGGTCAGACTTTGGAGAGTCCTTACGAAACAACATACTCCACCAGATGCAAAGGAGGAAATATAAGGGAGCATGTGGGATGGGATAAAGAGGCGACGGCTTGTGCCCCAGATGCAGAACGCCAGAGAATTCGTACACGATATAAACCCCACAGAGAAGATCCCATCAGAATAGAGTCCGTGTCGTGGCATAAGATCATACAGCCAGACCGTGCTGATAGCATCTCGTCTGCCGTCCCTTTTACAACGGCAACAAAAAGTAGGACGCGACACTAAGCTGCATCAGCCAGGACCGCTAGAACCCCTTCGGCGTTGCCTTCTTCCCAGTAGATGTTAGTACCACATCTCCAGTCACACTCCGGGTGTCTTCCCGAACAAGAGGATTACTTGGCTCACCGGTGGATCAAGCCGTGCTCGTGCAGCCACGCGAGCGCGCCCGCCACGTGTCCCATGTGCCGTGCAATCTGGTACAGGCGGGCGGGGGTGAACCTGGGGGTGGCCCCGGCGACGCTCCACTCCAGGGGGGAGTCGGCGAGCTCGAACAGCAGGCACAGCTCCCCCCCGTCCAGAGTGTAGCCCTCCAGGCGAATGATGTCGGGGCAGGCGCGGCACTGGATCAGATTCGTTGCCTGCATATCAAACGAGCAGAAATAAGGGTCAGCCTTCGTGTAAAACGGCTTTTGGAAAGTTGTTAGATTTGAGTCCGTTGATAAGTGTTTCGATCTCGCCTGGCGTCACAATTGGTGTCCCTCCGAGGATCAGGCTTCAGTTCTGAGGGACTGCAAGTTAACCATTCGTTGCTCGCAGTAGCAAACTTTAAGAATTTCGTTCTGCCGAGAAGGAGGTTCCAACAGGATTCATCCTTGTCGACCGGAAGAATTTGTCAGGGCGGAAGAAATATTTTGAACCCTAAGCCGAAAGTTCCCGTGGTCTCCGGAACTTTTTGAAAGTCTTCTTGTCATCCATTTGTAGTCAGAACAGAAACGTTGTCATTGGAACGCCTTGCTTACCTCAATCAATGACCCCCAGAAAAGGAACTTGGCGGCCAGGATGCGATGCTCGCCACGGGAATTGAGGCCTTTGGCGGAGCACACGAGGCCCTGTCCCCCCTGCGGAAAGAAGTTGCACGCGTTACTTTTGAAATCTTCCTGTTTGCACTGCGAGGACTTTTTAACAAAGACTGCAATCCTTCGTTAAACCTGAAGAGGCAGATGAAATCCAGCATTCCCCGCGGATCGTTGCAGGAGCCTCTCTGTTGTTTCTGGAGCTTCAACATTTCTGGAGCTTGACATCGGCCCACATGCTCGCAAAGGTTTCGGTACACAGTCATCTATCTGCTGAATGTTTCATTGCCTACACTTCTTAGGACCCAGCTTCAGGGGGCAAACTGCCTATTCATAAAGGCGGCAGTCGACAGCGCTGAGCTCACCCTGCCCAGAAGTTCCAGAAGCGATATCTTCGGGTAAAACTCGAGGCCGGCTGCTGCCAGGAAGGCGTACGGATCCCTCTCCGGCTCCTACAGGCACAGCAGAAACTGATTGAGGCATTACCTTTTTGACCTGGCAAGTTTTCAGAAGCTCCTCAACTTTGCAAGCTCAAACTGCAAGCTTTGCCTGACTCAAACGTTTCCATATTTTTCGATCAGCCATTGAGAGCTTTCATGAAGACGTAGATGCCAATTGCTCGTCCGAATTACATGCAAATGTGGACTTCCCCTCTCGTGAAAGTGCGCAAAGTTTTCCAAGCGTTCCTGCGTTGGCTTAGGACAAAAACTTTAGACTCTGAGAGACAGAATTGAAAGTTGTCCGTAGAACTGACCTCAAGACAAACCCCAATACAAACCCACTTGTGACGGATTTCCAACAAACCCCTGAACAAAAAACCTTGAAAGTTTGCCTACCTGAGGCTGCAGCCCTGCCTGCATCAGCGCCGTGTCGCTCGCCCTCCACCTCCAGGAGTCCCCCACCCCCTCATCAAGTAGCGCACCCGCCATCCCCTGCTCCTCATCCCCCTCAATGACGTCACCCATGACCAGCTCCACCGACTCAATACTCGTATCACTCCAGGACAAAAGCGAGGGGGCTGCTGGCACGTCGCTACCGGGGAGTGCCTCAAAGAGTGCAACAGTATCTGCTAGCGGGGCGGGGCGGGGGGAACTAGACTGGTCGCCTGGGGCGCGCGGGCTGGGCGTGGGGAGCGCCTCCAGGTCAAAATCGAGGCCGGAGAAGACGCCGAACCCTGGGGGAGTGCTCTCGGGGGCTGCGAACGCGTCCGCGCTGAACAAACCCACCCCGTCCAAGGCAACCTCGAGTGGGGCCTCCTGGGCCCTGCCGCTGTCCCCCTGGTCGTGTGCAGAGCTGCTCGGGGCATCGTGTGAGACCAGGGGGGCAGCAGAGGGGGAGCAGGGCACCGCCTCTGAGGCTCCGGAAGATGCTACCTGAAAGGAGGAGGAAGACTTGATGAGCTGGTGACAGGATGAACTTATGTTGGTCACTGTTTTGTGCTAGTGAGCAGGTTTTGAAGGATTTCCGGCGAGAAGGAAGAGAGAAATCTTTGTCAAGTAAGCAAGGGTTGGGGGTAAACAAACATGCAATTTGGTGACAGGAAGCTCTCTTTACGCATTATGTGAGTGCAAGACCTTTTGAAGCTAAGCACACATCAGGTTGCTGATGAAAATGTGATCAAAACTTGGAATACTGTTTGAAGACAAAGTGCAACATTCCGATCAACTGGCACCTTCATGATATGTTGCAAGCTTTGCAGCTGAATTCTTAAACAGGAGACCGCGAAAATGAACAAAAGATACTCTGTGAATGATCCAAGCTCTTGAATCGTCTCAAAAGTTTTGTACTTGGTATTTTACATGGTGAGCATCTACTTCATGATCAAACAAAAAACACCATTTTTGCTGCTCGGCAGCTTGTAGAAACCACCACAAGGAACAAACTACTATGGCTTCCCTAGCGCCTCACAGTCCTTTGTAGATTCAACCAGATCATGGACAGAGATGCACAGACTGCTGTCTCTAACGAAACCTTGCTGACTTCCGAACTGTTTAACCCTCAGCTTGGTCATTCAAAAATCTATAAATTTTAACAAATGCTTTTGTCCAGAACAAAAACAAGTTGGTATTGCCATGTGATTCTGCTCACCTGCTGGTCAGCATCCTCCGCAGAATACGCAGGGCTGGCCTGCTGTCCCTCCTCCTCCCCTCCTGGGAGACCCTGCTCCACCTCTGCTCCCTCCTCAATCCCCTCCTCTCCCTCCTCTCCCACCAAGAACTCCTCTCCCTCCCTCCCCCCAACCTCCATCACCACCTCCTCCTGGCCTCCCTCCTGCTGGCAAAGCTCCTGCTCCCCCTCCTCATCCCCAAGGAGTCCCTGCAGGGCGCCCAGCGCAATGCCCCTCCCCACCTCTACCAGCAGATCGTCGAAAGGGACATCATCCCAGCTGCTGAAGAGGGGGATCATGCCCCCGTAGACAGCGCCCCTCACGATGGCGCTGTATCTCTCAAAGACCCCCAGGCAAGCAGAAAAGAAGACCGCCATGGCAAGAGGCCACGCGGTGGAGGCGCTGAAAACACTCTCACTGTCGCTGCTCGCTGAGAAGTCACTCTCAGTCTCGCTCTCCTCGCTAGCGCTCGCAATCGCTGGTGGAGGGGGCTGATAAACAAACGCCGAAGGCGCTCAAAGCTGAAAGCTCTGGATAACCTAAGAATTTTTGTGGATTGAACAAATGCAAGACCTTCGCATTTGGGCTCAGTCAATAATCCGCGTCAGCTAACTCGAGCAGGCAAATGCCTCAGGGATCCCTTCAGCCTCACTAGTCAATCTTGCCAGGAACTCCATGGATAGTGAGCGCTTGAATGCCGTCGATCTCACTAGATCGAACGGTGATCGGCATTCACGCGTCTCACTGCGCGGCCGGCTGGAGGCGCGGCCGCGAGGTTTCAGGGCGCCACTGTGACTACTACTGTAAGTTGTAACCATTGTTCATGATGTTGAGAAAGGCAGATGCGCGGTGCATCATTGCACATTGATTGATCCCAGATCCTGCAGCCGCCAGCTTCTACTGCATCCAGCTTAGTAAAAGCAGGAGCTTACTGACTGACTTCCTACTAGCTCCGGAATCATGAGTTAAGGCCATGCACCGGGAACGGGCCGGGAACATGCATCTGGCATGGCGCCGAATAGATTATTGATGCTTATTAATGTTCGTGCATGTGATGCCTACGAAAGCTCGACGTACAATCTGGTACTGCTCATGAACCTGGACTCAAGCGGAAGGCGCAGCACAAAGGGATGACCATAGATCGACGCGAGAAAAGGTCGTGCTCTGATCGTGCGGAAGGCATGCCGCTATAGCGCACCGGCCGTCTGATCGGTGATATTGAGTTTCGCCTTTCATCATGGGCACACAAGCCATGTGCTCGTTCGGGCCGGCGCGTGCACTTAGGCATATCATTGATCTTGGACCAATTGAAACAGATTAGCGCCCAAAGACTTTCACCATTCGCTTGCATCTATGGCACAATAAATTAGCTGTCCTAATCTGAGTTTGCTACCAGTAAAATGTCAATCTGTATCGATTAGAATTTAAGACTGTAGCGCGGCTTGCTCTGACTAAATGTCTAGCTAGTGTCTGCTAGGTTAATGCCTTAAAAATCTGTTTCGGTTACAACCAGTGGCGGGGGCCTGTGTATAAAAGCAGCAAATGAAGTTCAGCGCTTATGAAACTCCCTTATCAAAAGCAAGGGAAACAATCTGCTGTCAAAATGTCAAGCAGCAATTAATGAGTCTCAAAAAATGGTTCCCCCGCCAGCCAAGTTCTGCTCATGCCTCCCCGTCACTCGTTCTTTATCTATTTACAACTCGCTCTTCATCTGTTTACAGCTCCGCAGCCGCAACATTCGCCCTCGCTCATTCCCCTGGAGGAGCCAGGGCTGCCCTTAATCTACGCGTGCGCACTCACACAATATCCGCCCACTCAAAGCCCGGCTCTCTTACGCTTCATTCCACCCCCATCCCCGCTGATCTTGCCCCACAAACACGCACACATTCGCCAGTATACCCAACACGCGCGACACAAGTCGAGAGACCATCGCATCCGCCTGAACACAATGAGTCCGTCAACCCACTGCGTAATTTCTACACTAATCAATCAAGTGTCCATTCTCCTCCCTCTCCCCCCTCTACCCACTCCACGCCGCCTCTAGTTCGTCCTCGGAGCACTGCGCGCGCAGCAGCTCTGCGATCTGCAGCAAGTCGTTTGCCACGTGGTGTGCGCTGGGCCGCTGGCTGGGGTCCACGTGGCAGCAGCGCTCGACGAGCGCCACCAGGTCCCCAGCGTGGGCGTGCACCTCGTTCGGCCACGCGAACCAGCCGCCCATCGCCATGAACGCGAGCAGAGCCTGCAGAAAGGAGGGGGGCGAAAGATTGTGAGTAATAGAACGCCGATCGTCGGCATTTGGCGGCATGTCAGTTGTTAAACCAGGGTTCCTCGTTGGAGCATTCATACTCGGCATATCCTGCTGTGGCTTCGGCACTTCATTTGGTGGTGCTGTGCACGGCCAAAGCAAAATCTGGGGTCTGATGAGGCCTTGAGCCACTTGCTAGCACACCGGTTTCGAAGGTGCTGATCACGGCGGGCTCCATCTCTTAGTACATTGTCCCAAGATTTTTTCACGAGGCTTTCGAACGCGGTTGCGTTTGAACCCAAGCATATTTTCTCCGCAAGAAAGTAGGAGCAATCTATGGAACTAGCCGATCTTACGAGTAGAAAAACGCCCATCATCTGCTGTAGCTGCAAGAATTGCCTTTATATGAAGCACTTTCACGAACGACATCCAAATGCACACAAAACGTACATGAAGCGCCATTACACGAAAAAGAGGACCGAGATTCTACTAAGACAAGCCTTTGAACGCTATCAGCAGGGGCGTTCGTCACAACAAAAGACCTTACAATGGCTGTTTGATGCTGGTTTCCCTGTGAAGGTCCTATCTCCAGCTACAAATTGATCGATCCTAGACCAAAAGCAAGATAACGTAGCTGCTTTCCTATCAGTTCAGTTCTAAAAACCAAATTACCATCGCGATACGCAGGTGTTTAGCTTTTGAAAAGAGGTTGGATCCAGTAGAGCCACAGAGAGCTGCCGTGCTGAACGAGCGTTCTATGCAGCATAAATGGCCCGGCTAGATCAACCCCAAGCAGCCCGAACCCGTTGCGGTACGGTTAGACACTCATGGACCGTACACACAGTGCTGGGGACCTTGAAAAACCTCTTGTACTGGTTCGAGTGTGGCCCATCGCACGATGCTTACGTTCGTAGCTTTTCATAGCCGTGGGCCAATCGTGAAGCATACGTTTGGCTACAGCCTCTCGTTGAATGATCGAGTGGTCCCCCTTAAAGGCGTCAGATATGAAGACATGTCTGAGATGGTTCATTGTAATGTGAC